AGCTACTGGAAGCTTCCAGCTAGGCCACACGCAGCATCCAGGAGGCTGCCACTTCCATATAGGAAGTGAGGCAGCCCAGGCGAGCATGCTGGCCTGCGTAGGCAATGCGGAAGTGCTGCTGCGCTACTGCTTGATGCTGGGCTGCGGCCAAGGGCGCTGACGGGGTGCGTAGAGGTGCAGTGGGGCGCTGCAGGGCAGCCGGGCACGAAGTCTGCAGACTTCCGGAAGGTCCGGAAGTGGCCTTTCGAAAGTGTCTTACGTTTAGTCTGAGGCAAGTGCAACGAACCTCCCAGTTCAACATCAATGAGAGCACACATTCACACCACTTGCATGCATGAGGTCACACGAAGTTCACACTGAAAAACCAGAGAGATAAAGACCAGATAGCACAGCTCAAGAATTCCAACGAGTTACACAAGAGCAATAAGAGTTCCAAGTCACCAGCGCACATCAGTGCATGTCAAAGGTAACCACTATTCAGCACAAACTTTCAGGTAAGTATCTTTTTCCTCCCTGCTCTTCTCTCTCTGTTGTATCACCCCTCCTTGCTGGTCTTCTCCCTAGCTTATGACCTCGCTGTATCTCCTCCCTACATGCATACACACTCATACTAACTTCTACTCAAAGATCTACTCTGAATACACCCACTGTCAACCCTACTAACTCTCTGAAGACTACTTCTAGATACTAACACTAACACCCTGCACTGGCACAGCTATGGCTGCCTTTCCTCTGCCAGCGCTATCTTCCTCTCTCTCCCTCACTTAGCGCAGTGCTCTGGCCTCAGCGCTCTGCCCTTCACATTAGCGCACAAGTGCACCAGCACTTCCACACTCTTTGCGAATGAGCAATCTCACCGAATGTGAGGCTGGTCAGTCCTTTTGTAGTCTCGGTTTGCACTTCAACTCGTGCCAGCCTCTGTTTCTTGGGCCCTGTTTGGTTCCGGTACCACATCCCCACGGCCTGTCTGCTACTGAGTGTCAAGCCCTGGAACCTTCCCGAATTTCCATTGGACTGCTGCTGCTGCGCGCCCTTGAGTCATGACTTTTCATTTGTGAACATGACTTTTGACTGTGGACAGTGTCTCTTGCCTGTGGGTCACGACTTTTGCCTGTGATACTACCTATACTCATGGGATGTGTCTCTTCAATATGACTTTTCATTAGGAACCGTGACATGACTCTTGCTTAGTGAATCTGCCTTTTCACTTGTGGGATGTGACTCTTCTGAATGGCTTTTATTATGAAACGTGACTCTTGTCCCTGAG